CCTTAGCCACTTGAGCCACAGGTGCCAAGCCTTTTGTTTGTTTTTTAATAGACATTCTTGCCCAGGATAGAGTGCCATGGCCTCAGCCCGACTCACAGCAACCTCAAACTCCTAGGCTCAAGTGATCCTCCATGCCCGGATAATTTTTCCACTTTTATTAGAGACAGGGTCTTGCTTTGCTCAGGCTGGTCTTGAAAGCAAACATATGGCTTTATTGCTCTGAGACAAGGTGCAATTTTATATAATAAAGAAGAGCCCTGTTTTAACTCAAGGGACTTAGGATGTTTGAAGGTTGGCACAGCTGTGTACAGGACAGGGTGGGAAGGTTACTGAGCCAGCTGCCTAACTTGAAGAGGCCCTGCCCTGCACTGATTTTTATCAATCCCTCAGGCAGCTGGACATGGGAGGTGAGACTTGGTTAGGGGTTACTGAGCATCTGATACCATGCAGTGTCTTCCTTAACTTCCCTTCTAAAATCCTTAATAGTATCCTGTCTACAATATTTAAGTGTTACCTTTAAGGTTTCTATAAAGCAGTACCTATATATAATCTACACAAAGGAAAACTTCTGATATATGAAAGCACAGGATTACAACCAGCTGTGATTTTTCTTTATTTCTGCTCGTAAACTTAAAATTCTTAGGTTAACGTAACATCATCTGTTCCTTTGGGGATTTTATATTTGAGTTCTGTGCTTTAGTATCAGGTGGCGGCAGATCCACAACCCACTTTCGAAACAAAATGTCTTACCCTGCTTCACAAATCCTATGCATTATTTGTGCACTTACAAAAAAATGTTTATAAACATTTTAGACATTGGATACTGTTCGTTCTATTGCAAGAGGATAGAAACATTTATTGTAGCAGAATACAACGGTTATTCACCTTACGTTTATTATTCCCCTTATTTTATGACAGCAACTCTGAATTCTTTAATATATAAAGAGAAATCAAAAGAAAACATATCTACAATCTTGGTTTAAGAAGTACACTGGGAATCTGGTCACCTAAACCATATGTACAGGATATAAACATATTTATATGTACATAGTGATGGTTACCTATGCATTATAAATAGTAGGTTTAACTTAGATTCTACAAAAATAATCATTTTTGGATGGGAACATGCAAACCGGTACACATAAACCTATTTATAAAACACATTTCTATGCTTTTTTTTTTTTTTGCTTTTAAATATAAATGTTGCTAGTTAACCCTCGGCTAAATGATTGAAACACAAATCCCAGAGTTACCGATTAAAAGTATAAAATCTGCTTCCCCCCAGCGCACACCGCTCCAGGTATTCTCTTCCTATGTGACGTCTAGACAAGTTGTCACATGTGTGCCACAGGCATACATCCCCTTTCTTTACTTATTGGACAGCCCTCTAAGGTCAAGGCTTTCTTTGTTCTATTTTTTTTTGCTTGTTTTTTGTTTTGTTTATTAAAATATTGCAAAAGGGTAGGTATTTCTTAAAATGGCGTCATCTTAGCTCTTAGACTCTGATAAAAATGAGCACAATGAGACCTCCTCTCCCTCACACCTGCTCCTGCCGCAGCTGAGCTGTTAATGGTGTGCGGAGCCATCGGGGTAGGGGGACAGCTGAGTGGCCACAAAGGGCTCGTTCTGCTTCTGATCGTCTTTCATGCCGGCGGCCTGGTCTATGATGGAGGAGAAGGACAGCTGGTCATGCTCAATGATGTGCACTTGGTCTTCATCCTTGTCCTTCTTCACGTAGAACATCTTTCGGAACTTTTTCAGTTCGTGAAGCTCGCAGAAGGTTTCCAGAACGACCAGCATGGCAATCAGGCCAAGGATCAGGTAGCCTGAGTGAGAAACAGGACAGCATCTCAGCGTGGTCTGGTCACAGAGAAACCAAGGAACAAGTGACTTCCCTCCTCACTGTCCATACTGAAACAAATATTTACTAAGCAGTAAGTTCATTGCCAGTTTTCTAAGAACGTTTGAAGACCATGGCTGAAAGAGGAACTACCCACTGTCAAAGAGGAAAGAACAATGAAAAAAGATTTAGCCTTCAGTGACCTTGGCTGATTTAGAATTACAGTCTGCATTTTTTTTTTTTTTGAGACAGAGCCTCAAGCTGTCCCCCTGGGTAGAGTGCCATGGCATCACAGCTCACAGCAATCTCCAACTCCTGCACTCAAGGGAGTCTCCTACCTCTGCCTCCCAAGTAGCTGGGACCACAGGAGCTCGCCACAACACCTGGCTATTTTTTTTTTTTTTGTGATTGCAGCCATCATTGTTGTTTGGCAGGCCCGGGCTGGATTCGAACCCGCCACCTTAGGTGTATGTGGTTGGCACCTTAGCTGCTTGAGCCACAGGCGCCGAGCCTTTTTTTTTTTTCCTTTTTGACACAGGGTCTTGCTCTCCTGCTAGATATTCCTCCAAGCTAGATACCATGGCCGTGTCCCAGCTCACTGCGACCTCCAACTCCTGGGCTCAAACGATCCTCCTGCATTAGCCTCCCAAAGTACTAGCATTATAGGTGTGAGCTGGTACACCCAGCCCTGCAGTTTTTGAGAAAAAAACTAAAACGTGGGGTTGATGTGGTTCTGTTAAAGACGGATGATACACATACTCACCCAAGTGAGAATGCCATGCCAGGGTACTTGTCCTCTCTGCTTTATAATCAGTGGCTCACAAAAAGATAGGAATGTTTCAGAAAAGTTTTGGATGAAACGTGGTGATTCAGATTTGGATGAATCATGAGGTGCTCAGAACAATACTTGGCACCTGATGAAGCCTGAATCATATTCTTCTTAGTGAGATTTCTACTACAAAATATGAATTCTAAAATAGAAGCTGTAGTTTAAACTAAAGCAAAATTCCTTTCAGAATTGGTGTTGATATTAAATAGGTCTCTGTGTGTGGCTATTTATGCTTGTGTCTAAATCCACCAACGACCCAGAGTTCTCCATGATCCGACAGTTGTTTTTTGGGCATGTGGACCATCCATTGGGAAACTCCATCAGTTTCTTATTCTTAAAATAAAGAATAGCTGTTGGGTCCGGTACAGCGTTATTCCCTGGAATTTGTGATGGGAAATGGTCATTTTAAGTGAGTTCCAAGAGCAAGATCCCATCTCTAAAAACAGCCCAGTGTTGTGGCAGGTGCCTGTAGTCCCAGCTACTTGGGAGGCTCAGGTAAGAGCCTCACCCCAAGAGTTTGAAGTTGCTGTGAGCTATGATGCCACAGTACTCTACTGAGGGTAAGCAAGTGAGACTGTCTCAAAAATAGCAAAAAAAAAAAAAAGAGTTCCAACATTTTAAAAATCACTTTCCAGGAAAAAAAAGCATCATGGAAAGGAACCAAAAAAGTGAACATGGTAACTCCAAGAGCAACAAAAATTCCAATTTCACATCCCAGGGATAAAATGTTTGTGGAAGATTTTCAGAAAACACATTAAGTAGGAAAGGTAGAACTGGCAGCATAATGTGAACAAAGAGCCTGATTATCTCAAATTATGAAAAGTTTATTATCTTCAGGGTTTAACTATAGATTTTGATAATAATACGGTGAGTGAATGTGCTCTTGGTATTTCAGAAACAGTAATGACATTGTTAGACCAACTGGCAAATCCACTCCTTGTCCTTTATCGTTATTTAGCCAAACTCTTGAGCTCTAACAAAAATACCCAGGGGTGTCAGGCAAAACGGTGGGTTTTTATCCTGTGCACAACCAGGAGACCTTTGGAACGTCATTTGTTCAATCCTCAAGTTCTTAATGCTCAAGACATAAACTAGGTCGGTGGAGATTGTCTAGAGAAACAAGATCCACATTCTAACAAGGGATAAAATGCTATGCAAAGATTTGGTATCATGAGAAAAACTAAGGGCTGGCCAAAATGTACAAGAAGGCAGTTTACTTAAGAGAAAAGTGCTGTAGTGAGCAACATTCTACTTTCCTACATCATGAATAAAAAAATAACAACATATCTTGGTTCGTGCCTGTGGTTCAAAGGAGTAGGGCGCCATATACCAGAGGTGGCGGGTTCAAACCCGGCCCCGGCCAAAAAAAAAAAAAAAAAAAAAACCTGCAAACAAACAAACTAATAAAATAACAATATATCTTATCATATGAAAAGAAAGTTAAGGTAATATTTATGGTACTACCCAACTCACACATGCAAAATACATCTGCAGTGCTACTGGCTAATACTAGCCGCTGCAGTGCTCAAATAACTCTGTTGACACCATTTGGAAAGGACCAGGTCTCACTTTGGGTCAGTAATCCTACTTCTTGGAAGGAAATCAAAGTACAAAAAGTATAAATATCCAAAGATTCTCTATAGTGTTATTTATATGAATCTCACATTAGGAGAAACCCACATGATGACTAGTAGAGATATGGTTGGATTATGGTACAGGCCCCCTGGGGAAATACCATTCAGACTCTAAAAAATATTCCTTATGGTAACCAGAGGAAATAGAACATCGTCCTTGTAATAATTTGGCAAGTATCTCCTAAGTTTGTATGGTAGCCAGGCACTGTTCAAGGTATTAGGGATTTATGAGTGAAGGCTTTGTTCTGGGCAAGTCCTGGGTTAATGGAAATGTTAATACACACACTTCAAATAAGCATTTTGTGAGGTTATGTGTACAAGTCAGGGTCAGGACAGAGCATCTGGCTGCCCAGGTGCAGCTGTGATTTCCTAGAAGACGTGACCTCATAAATTGAGAAATTCTCAAGAAGGCAGAAATGAAAACTATATGTGCCTTAGGACTGCAATTCTGTGCAGCTTGAAGAAGATAGGAAATCACACAAAGTATAGAAGCTATACTTCTTGAAAATGAATGGCTCAGTTTTCTATGATATTATATTGAATTTTAAACAAAAATCATTTAAAAGTTGTAAGTCACCTGGCTATTTGAATTTTGTTTTTTTTCCCACCAATTTTTGGCCAGGGCTGAGTTTGAACCCATCACCTCCAGCATATGGGGCTGGCGTCCTACTCCTCTGAGCCACAGTCGCCACCCCCCCTTTTTTTGAGACAGTCTCATTTTATCCTCTTTGGTAGAGCGCTGTGGTGTCACAGCTCACAGCAACCTCAAACTCTTGGGCTTAAGCAATTCTCTTGCCTCAGCCTCTCAAGTAGCTGGGACTATAGGCACCCTACACAATGCCCAGCTATTTTTGTTGCAGTTTGGCCGGGGGCTTGAACCAGCCACCCTAGGTATATGGGGCCTGCGCCCTACTCACTGAGCCACAGGCACCACCGGGCCATCTGAATTTTAATAGCAACTTTATTTTCCAAATATAACATTTTGAAAACAGTTACACAAGCTAACTTCTTTTTTTTTTTTTTTTTTTT